AAAAGAAAAAAAAATGGGACAGAACTGGGAATTAATTTTCCCATAAAAAAGGTAAGAATTTCCTTTCATCCCACGCAAGGAATGAGGCGCGTAGAGGGAAAAGGAAAGTCAGATTTTCCATGCCAACTTTTTGCCATCAAACACCACTAAATATGGAATCTTGAAAAATATTTTCTTTTCCTACCCATTTTCCATGCTATCAAACATGGCCTTATTAAAAAGTTTAACAACTACATAATTGTGGTTCAATCATTGCCTTTGTTGGTCCAACTTTATATTGTCTTCATATGGAGCTGGCAAGATTTTCTTGTAATGGTAGGACCCTTTCTGTCCTCTTTCTTCATCAATTTTTCTTTATATCTTTATCTTCTTTTCATCTTATCGACAGGTGGAGCATTCCCTTAGTCGGCAAGCCTCTTGTATTGTTGATGGACTTCCAATAATTTGATGAGTATCAAATTTCTGGATATATTCTTTTAGAATTGAAGATTTTTCCTTTCCATTGTTTGTCAAGAGTGTCTATCCTTCATATTGGCATAGGCATTGGAATTTTTTATCATATAAGTTCTTCGCAATATTGTAAAGAATTTTCATCCCTAGGATTCTTCGGGATTTCATACATAATCTGTAAATTTTTGGTAATGACTTGTTATTTTGGCCAACTTCAATTTGGAAATTTCGGCCAACCTATCCAACTGTAATAATATGCTCTGCAGGAAAATATATCCTTTCATTAATTTATGGACTGATTGAATAAAATTTTACATAAAATGATCTTCCTTGGGCAAATTTTGAGATTTCTCCTCTGAATATATTATCAAATTCTTCAATTTCATTTAAATCATTTCTTGGATAAATTAGATCCAAGAATTCATAATCTGCTGTCATCTTAACCATAGAAGGGTCTGCATCATTTGTGATGATTAATCTCGGGTAGACATGATCTCTCGAGGCAATGAAATAAGAATCATTTTCTTGTAACTCAAAAACAATTTTTGTAAAAGAATTATATTCTTCTTCTTTTGGAATTAAAGGGGTATCATCATCTTCATCTGCTTTAATTCTGATTACCCTTGTATGCTTATCATCATTTTTTATTGTCACATTTCGGGGACTTTTCATAATCACATCCCTTTTTATCTGGTTTGGTCCACTGTTGCTTCCGCTTGGTATACCTGTTTGT